GCCCCTCCAGTTGGTTTTTAATACATAAAGTAACAGAACAAAGTACCGTGGAGTTGAATTTTTGCTTAGAACCTTATTTATATGGAAAACTGCCAGAAACACAGCCCTTCCTGCAGGGGTGTAAGAATTCCCCTTGACAATACCCAGGGGAGGATTCAGCTTTGGGGCAGAGTCCAGAAATGGGGGGGGCAGAGTAATAGTTTCAAAGAAATGTGGTCTGGGCTCGGGCGCTAGCTCCTAGTCTGCAGGGCACGCAAGGGCTGGGCTGCTGGGCTGGGTAGATTGGAGACCAGCAGCTGTTAATGTAAATGCATAGATCAGTTGCTCATAAGTCACAAAGGTGGTACCCCCTAATCCAGTGATCACACACATCGGAACTGGCTCATCCTTGTGCCTGTGGGAGTGTTTGCCCGAACCATTCTACATTAACCATAGTAATGAAATATGTAAAGTTTAGTAAGTTGACAAATCTTAAAAGAAAACAGAATTTAGATCGTAGATTGTGTCTTTGCTAAAACTTGGGCACTCTGAGTACAGAACTGTCCTATTAACCAATTACTTTTCTTATTTCTTTCTCCCTTAAGAGACTTTGATACTGTCAACATTTGCCCCTACCCTTTCTTTAGAGCAATGGAGTTAATGAAGAGAAGAATATTTATTTACACCCATATTTTATATTCTTGCTATGCAGAGTATGGGCCTGCTGGATCAGCAGTTTGCTGTCACCAGGGAGCTGGCTCGAAATGCAGAATCTCAGGCTCCACCCCAGGCAGACTGAATCAGAATGAATCTGCCTTTTAACAAGTTCCCCGGGTGACTGTAGGTTAAAGTTTGAGAAACACTTGTTCTATATGATATATACACATTGTCACATTTTTATAGAATTTAAACACTGTGAAAGGGGTAAGTAAATCAATTTTGGTTTTGATCCACTATTCTTAGAAGTAGGCTGTTAGATGCCACATTCTTTATGGCCTTACATTTTGGTAAATATCTAATGATACATCAGTTATATGTGGAAATACTGATGGAATCTCTCTCTCTCTCTCCCCAGTCACATCATTTTTCTTGAAGACATTCCATTATTGTTCTATTGACCTTTCCCTCATTCCTGAGTCCTTTGGAGTTGATTATGTCCACAGCTGCCTTAATTACTTTGGTTAGAAGTGGTGGGAACCACGTGAGAAGGAGAGTGCTCCTAAGCTCCCGCCTACTGCAGGAAGACAAACGGCTGACGCCTACCTGCCACAGCTCCACTTCAGAGCCTAGGTGTTCTCGGTTTGACCCGGATGGTAGTGGGCGTCCGGCCACTTGGGATAATTTTGGGATCTGGGATAACCGCATCGATGAGCCCATTCTGCTGCCGCCCAGCATTAAGTACGGCAAGCCAATTCCCAAAATCAGCCTGGAAAACGTAGGCTGCGCCTCGCATATTGGCAAACGGAAAGAGAATGAAGACCGATTTGACAGCGCTCAGCTAACAGACGAGGTCCTGTACTTTGCCGTGTACGACGGGCACGGCGGACCTGCAGCTGCTGATTTCTGCCACACTCACATGGAGAAATGCATCATGTATGTACAATGACTTTTCGCTCTTGACTTTGCAGTTTACCTTATACTTCATGTTTAAACTTTAACCTTTTGGCCGAGATGATGTTCACTGTTAACCTACTTAAATTTGAGTGGTTCCATACTGTTTTACGAACAAGCAGTGGCTTAAGCATGCCCTTTATTACTGGTGGTTACCACCATTCCGCAGTGTATATTTTGACAACTCACCTGGTGAAAGCATTGACCAGGATCAACAGCACTTTGATTTGTGATCGTATCAAGCTATATAGTACAGGATCTCACGTATTAGGGAAAGCATTTACTCCTACCAGTGCAGGGCATATAGTACTTCAATAAATGGTAATTCTTTCAAGGGGTATGAATGGCTTTAGATGATTGACAGTAGGATGGGGAGAATGCATTTAGTGAGGGTGTTTTGGAGCTCTTTAAAAAGTTTATTTACTGCAGTAATTACTAATGTATTTTGGGGATCATATGACTTGAATTAAAAGAGGGGGAGAACATATGACTATTTCTTGTCTTCCTGTAGTTATTCATGCTATTCATCAGTGGATTTATTCATGTTTTGAACTCAGTGGCGTACATTTATTTGAAGGAATTTTGACCTCTCAGGGTTGTGGATAGACTATTAATCTTTAAGGACGGAGACTTGGACTTTTATTTTATTGTTCTTAAAGGCTTATCTCCGTGTCTAGTTATTTCCTAATTTGAGTTGTTAATCTGTGGATTTTAAGCATCTGAAGGCAAACCATGGTGGTCCATTGTATGGAGTAACAGCTAGCCAGAGGGACCTAGGTGAAGAAGAGAAACCTATTATAAAATGATTGTTTGGGACTCTTTTTTCCTCTCCACAAAGGGATTTGCTTCCTAAGGAGAAGAACTTGGAAACTGTGTTGACCTTGGCTTTTCTAGAACTAGATAAAGCCTTTGCAAGGCATGCCCACCTGTCTGCTGATGGTAAGTAAAACAATCACATTCCTTAGGGTCTTGGGGCATGTCTAATGAAAGGAAACAATTTAAGCCCTTTAGGGGTGGGAATGTAAGTTTATTTGTGAGGATGCTTATATTGAAAGTGGTTTTATATAAGAAATAACTTTAAATGCTGTTTGGAATCAATGTAGTGTTAGTACCTCATTTTTAAATGAAATATATTGGACAATTTTTCAAAAATTGAAGCTCTAAAATGGTTCTGATACTGAATTTAAATTTTAAAAAGATTAAAAATTTTTAAAATTTGCTCTTTATATGGACAGCAGGTCCATAGTATGGGAAGGTTTACTGTTTTGGTTTTTTAGATGAACCTGATGAGTAAGTACTGAGATAGACTATAGGGTAATCTCATTTAGCCACATAGTAATTGTCCAGACAAAAAGAAAATTGCTAACTGGTCCTAAATAAGAAAAGACAATGGGTAATATGCACTACTCTGTTTAATCTTCAGAAGGAAGATATGTTTTCTCCCACTTCTAAAAGACTTTGTTTTTGTTTTTATTTGTTAAACACAAGGACATGTCAGCTGAATTTTAAAATTTACGTATTGTATGTCCTTAAATTTTGAAAGTAAAATGTTTCTGATTTTCACTGAATTTATCAAAAGCATTCAGAAAAACATAGCTGGTGTTTTCTAGTTAGCTGACCCCCAAATCTTTTGTTCCTAAAGGTAATCCTCAACACTTCTGTAGTGACCATTTAATGTATGCATACAGACCTCATAACTGATTTGAAAGTGAATCATGCAATATTAATCTGTGTTTGGTTCATCCTTTTATTTAAAGGAAGTCAAAGCACCACAGAAATAACATTTCACAATTTGCAGTTGAGAGCATAGGGATAGAAAGTCTCAATTCACCTATAAGGCCCAGTTGCAGGGTGAGGGCTGGGATTTTCCTGGCACCACAGTGGCCTCCCTCACGGGCATGTTTAATGAGGAGGATTCTAGAAGATGACTAGGATGGCTCTATTCGCCATCTTACAAGATTTTTCCTGCCCTTTTTTGAGAACCTTACTGTCATCATACTTTTTGGAAAAGCATTAGAGTCCACTCTCTTTGTTCAGGGATTTGTTTTCTTGTTTGTAGATCATTCGGCCCATTTTCTCTTCTCCTTCATTCCTTTGGACTTTTTTCCTTCCAGCTGGCTCCTCACCTTTGAAAATAGAGGTTGAGAGAAGGTAAATTGTAGTATAAGATTGAGCTCTTGTTCCTAATGGGTAAAATATAGGAGGTAGAAGAGAACAGTCAAACACCTTCTTGTAGTTGTATTTTTATGACTCTGAATATTGGCATGCTCTGGTTTCATCCATAACCAGGTTGGCTGTATCTCACACCATGGTGTTTATTAGCTCTAATGCCGGTGGTGTTCCCCAGCTGTCCTGTAAACAGGTAGAACCTACTGGCCTCTACCTGTCAGAAGAAAACCCTCAAGTTTATCATGGGGAATGTGCAGGCCAACAGTCAAAACATTAACCCTTCATGGGTGCAGTCAGCCCTTTGGTAAAGGATCTAATCGATGAAAATGCTGAAAACTGAGATTCGGCCTAAAATATGAGAGGACCCCTTTCATTTTATTAAATAATAAATTATAATTCAAGGGAATTTTGAACTTAGGGAAAAAATCTGTTTAACTGGCCTACCTTAAAAGAAACTTTCTAAAGGTGCCTTGCTCAGAGACCATTGTACAAAGAAAGTAATCATAAAAATATAATTAATTTCTAATAATAAATTCAAATTGTATTTAACTTAGTTCGTCTGTCATACACCTTGAGCTAATGATCTTAGAACTTTCATATGCTATCCTAAAATTTACTTTCCATTTAATGGCCATTTGTTTACAAGTATAATGGAGCACAGCAGAACAATACCTAGTGTGCTACCAAAAGAAAGGGCATTGTTGTTCTTAAATCTTATTTTGTATGTATTCTTATAGATTACTTGGTCTGTGTGTGTGTTTTTAAATAAGTATTTTGGGAACAACTTAAAAATTTATTCTTAGTAAGTTGCCAAGGCTTTCAACATTGCTAAAAATTGCCTTTTGATATTTGGGGCCTATTTTATCAAATATATTAAAGCCACTGAAGATAGATGCTGTAAGTTGTTTAACTTTTCAATTTGTGGATTAAAAAAACATGTTTCAGATTTCAAAGTTATTATTTAAATTAAAAACTTTTTTTTTTTTTTTTTTGGTTTTTAGTAAGAACTGAAGCTGTATCAGTATTATAAGAATGGATAATATTATTTTTGGTATAGCTATAGGTAGGACCCAGGCCAGTTAAAAAAAATTGTGAAGTAAGTGCAGTTTGCCCTTTCCAGGTTTTTTGTGTTTTTTTTTTTTTTTAACCTTTTCTATCAGCATCAGTCCCATTTTCCCCTCCTTGAACCCTTTCAGTGAGGAGCTTAAAGGTAGTCACCATGCTTATTCATTTTGAATCTCCAGCACTCAGCACCCTGTATAGACTCTGGAAGGCACTCAATAATTATTTGGACTGACCTGGTCTCCATGCATGTTCTTTCTCACCAAAGTTAGTGCAATTTATTCTTTGATTATCCTAGAGCCAATTTAACCAAATTATTACCATAATGTGTGTGTTTTAATGAGTTATCACTCCTGTGTGGATTTGAATTTTAAGTAGGGGAAGGCTGAAAAGAGATTGGTTAAACCATAGGAATGAATCAGTAATGGTAGAATTTGGGGTATAAATGGGAAGAGTACCCCTCAATTATACTATATTAGCATTCTTGGGAGAAAGTGAAAAAAATAAAGTGAACATAAAACATTTTCCTCTTCAAGAATTTAGTCCAAAACTGTCACATCTGCATAAAGTGCTTCAAATTATCTTGTTAGCATTTAAAATAGTTACTATTTCAGTTTAAAATGGGATGGTTTGAGGAGAAGAAAATCAGAATGCCACTTACCAAAAACAGCAAGAACCTTGCCCTTACGAAATTGTTGGCTATTTTTATTGATTTGTTGTTGACACATTTTGAAATTACCCTTATTTATGAAGCTAATTTCATCATCCTCTTTAAATATTTTTTTGTATTCAATTCATGCCAGTTGTGTATTTTTACAGTTAATGAAACCAGCCAGCAAATTCAAATGATATCCCATTACTCTCCTGTTTATGAACAAACCTCACTTAAAACAAACGGGGTGGTAGAAAACTGAGATTACTGTCCTTTACATTCTATAAACTCTTCCAAGTGTTTCTAGATTGCTTAAGGCTTGAAAGCAGCAAAGCTCCCCAAGAGACAGATGGATCAAAAAGAGAAGACTCGCTCTGATGTTCAGGGCGTGAGATGTTGGTGGCAACATTGTGAGTTCCATCGGAAACGTCCATGCACTTCACATTACCTGATCTCTACGAAATCACCAGTGTTAGAAAGGCAGTGTTTTTGAGTCTTCTTATATTGGGCGCAGCCAAAAGAAAAGAACAATAGGGACGACATTGAAGAGATACTTATTGTGCTGTTACCGCTTCAGCTCATTACTTGGATTTTGGTGTTCATGAGTCCTACGTGTCTGGAACACCCGTGTTTAATAAATACTGAAAACCATTTTGGTTTATACATATTATTGTTTACATGGTAAACAATAACTACTGGGGCAGGTGGGGGGGTTACACTTTGGAAAGTACAGCTTGAAAAGTACAGCTTTTACTCTTATGTTGCCATTCAGAAACTTGATCATTTTTCTTTTGATATGACGACCTGCAACACTGGGGAAAGGAGAGAGCTGCAGAAATACCCATTTTGTGAATCCCATAAACTTATAAACATGCACTAGAGCTCAAGAGCCTTACTAGCCTATATTTAAACAATTAATTTAAATTAATCGGTCTACTAAAAAAAATGCATTAAGCATCATTAACAAATATGTTACTTCTTGTATCTGGTATAGGAGGTGCTTTAATTCCTTCTTAATATATGTTTGAATCCCAGTAATTTGGTGGTATACTGTAGTGCACATCCTTTCTAACTACGTACTGCTTGTCGGGTACAAATTACTCACTGCTGTACCCATGAATTTTCCCGTTAGTTATTGGGACAATTCTGATACTGATACCAATCAAATTGACAGTGCCTTTTTTCCAGCTCCTAGAGGTACTGATTTACTTCTCAGGACTAACTGTTAAAGTGTGTGTGAGTGGTGTGCACATGTGAAAGAGAGAGAACGAGTGTATAGATGTGTGTCGGTGGTATACTGCATATATGTTTGTATGCCTGCATTTGTATATAGTTTTCCCAACCGTGGGAAGCTCTGAAACTACGAAGTTTTACTCTGTGATGAAAAAATGGATTCAACTACAAAATACCATCAATTTGGGCAAACTGAGTCTTGAATTCGTTGATCCGACACCTCCTGGAATATTATGTAATTTGCTAGTGAAATTTTCACCAAAATAAAAACCTTCCCCTTATTTTGCAGCTCTTTTCTCTGCCCTCCCCTGTGTTGCAGGTTTGTAATGTTTGAGCACAATTCCTGGGTGAATTTCCTATTTGCCTCTGTGCGTGTTATTTGTGGCAGAGAACTGTGCCCGGTCAGCAGCTCTAGACCTGGAGCCCGTGGACACTATATGCTGGGCTTCAGTGGAAAGAGAGATCTGCTTAATTTTGTCCCAGGTGAAGGAGTCCAGCGGTTCCTAGCCTGGACTACTGGAAGGTTCCCACATCCTCTTTGTCCCATTAGTTGAGATGACTTGCAGTAGGAAATGTCCAGTGAGTGTTAAGACCTTATTGAAAGATGTCTTAGTTTTATAGTTTATGTTGTTAGGGCAAAAAGTGAGAATTTTTACTTCCATGTTAAATGTTAAATGAAATAAATGCTTATTTAATCTTTATTTATTAGATGCTTAGCAAACCAGAATCAACAGTTAGTTTTGAAAACTTTCCCATAAATCCTGGGGTTTTGGAACTGTGAAGTTGGGTTGGTTAAAACTCAAGCTCTTTTAAATTCCTGGGTGGCAGAGGTGGCCATGAATGACAATAGAATCCTGAACAGCGAAACTTGGAAGTGTTAGTTCATGAATTTTTAACTCTTTTGATGAAGCTAATTAAGCTGCTGCTGACCATTTAAGCGAAGGAGAGGAATACTAAGTTCCCTGGGCAGGTAGCGTCTGAGTGAATGCCTGTACTCTCTTGCCTGGTGCTTCCTATCATTGGAAAAGGTCACAGTGGTTAAACTGGGAACGTCCTACCGTATAATGTTTTGGGCAACTCAAAAGTTAACTTTTGTAATATGAACATTACTGATTCTTACGCTAAAACATTTATGTTATACAATGACAAACATGTAATGTGTTTTAGCATTGCTCAGATACTACCTTGCACAACAGTTCCAAAATCAAAAGATTAATGGGGAGATAGTGCAACTATAAATGCTATTTCTCAATAAATTAGATTCAGCATGGATATAAAAGATTAAGTAGGATTTATTAATGTTTTCTCCATTTTACTTTTCTGATTAAAGCAGGCATTTTAATATACCAATTGGAAAATATATTTTTATATCTATGTATATATATATCCATCCAAAATGTATTACTGATGAAATTTTTTAAATTGTCTTTTTGGGGAAAAAAAATTGGAAAGATTGAGCCTCAATCAGTCAAATCAGTAGCACTTCATTTTTCCTAAATCTACCTTTAAAGAAGAAATCATCTTTGGATGATCACCTGAATATTTTATTTAGATGCTTTAAAGAATGAACCATGTTACTGAAGACAATACCTGCTTTAAATAAGTTATCTTTTTCAGTTTCTTCCAATTTGCTTTACTTTTTAGCCCTTAATTTCATAGTATTCTCACTTTTGGCAAGGCTCAATGCACCTTCAAAATTTTTAACAAATAGTAAAGAACTTAGGATAGATGCGGTTTGAGTAAATGAAAGAAAGATGCAAAAATTCAGTTTGGATTGGATGAAGGGAACAGTGGCAACCTCAAGCCAAGTGACATTTAATTGTGTTATTGGTCAGAGAAAATTAAATGTGAACTGCATTAAGCGTTTGGGAAACTAGAATGAACTTCATTCTCCATCCCCCATATTTTCCTAATATAACGGATGACTGTAACTTTGTTTCATGTCTGGGGAGGACAAAGATAAATAGAAAAGAATGTGAACCTTTAACCATTTTAGGATTTTTTGGGTGAACATTTGTAAAAATAAAACAATCGTAGAAGGAAAGAATATAAAATATAGCACTTGAAGAGCAACTGATACGCCCTTGGCATTCTTGCTTAGCTTATTAACTGATAATACTGTCATAGGATAGGAATGAAGAAATGGAAGAGAAAGCCTTCTGAGTGCATAGAAATTTTAGAAGAGTCAGCTTGCCTGAATGAGCTCAGTAGACCTGAAGGTCAACCTGCCATTTTAGCTAATCTAATTAAAATGTAATACTTTTAATACTGACACCTGATATACACACAAGGGTGTCATAAATATCAGTTCAAGTCAGCTCTAGTTCATATGAATAGAGGCCATGTGGAGACAGTGATGCACTTTTTACCAAATTAGGTTAGCAACTTTTTCTATTTGCATGGAGCCTTGTTACTGAATTAAATACCTCTTTCTCTGCATGCTCTTACTTACATAGTTCATTTGCATTTTATTTGCATAGCTCTAGTTAGATTAGAATGGTACATTTCAGCATAGTTTAACATGCCTGTGTTTTATTTTGTAATAAAAATTCCATATCCAATCATTTGTCACTGACTTACACTCTTTTTCATAATGTTTGCAGCGACCCTTCTGACCTCTGGGACTACTGCAACAGTAGCCCTCGTGAGAGATGGTATTGAACTGGTTGTAGCCAGTGTTGGGGATAGCCGGGCTATTTTGTGTAGAAAAGGAAAACCCATGAAGCTGACCATTGACCATACTCCAGAAAGAAAAGATGAAAAAGAAAGGTACCACCTCCACTGATCATTCTATGAGGATGCTGTTTATATAGTTCAAGATATAAATGAAACCTTGCATTTTATTTTTATTTATTTATTTTTAAAGATTTTATTTATTTTTTTGAGTGAGAGAGAGAGAGAGTGCGTGCTTCGGAAGGGGGGAGGGGCAGAGGAAGAGGGAGAAATAGGGAGCCCGACTCGGGGCTCGATCCCAGGACTCCGAGATCGTGACCTGAGCCGAAGGCAGAAGCTTAACCGACTGAGCCACCCAGGCACCCCGAAACCTTGCATTTTAAACTGATTTCATCTTAAGTTTAACCGTGCCTTCATTTCCTGGGTATCATGTCATAGTCTTTTTTTCTTGGACCAGGATCAAGAAATGTGGTGGTTTTGTGGCTTGGAATAGTTTGGGACAGCCTCACGTGAATGGCAGACTTGCAATGACAAGGAGTCTTGGAGATTTGGATCTTAAAACCAGTGGTGTGATAGCAGAACCAGAAACAAAGAGGGTTAAGGTAACAATCTGCAACAGCTGATACACATGCAAGGAATGAAAGCAGGATTGTTTCCAGCTACAGGCTTTCTTAGAAGCCTTAATTGAAGCTAACATGACTTTTAAAGTTTATGGAAGGATAGATGAACTTTTCAGATAAAATAAAATACTGGCTTACTGTAGGATGAAGTGCCTGGTTTTTGCTTTACCCTGCTTGCCGGAATTCACCTGGTAAGATGGCTCTAGTGCCCTCCCTCCCCGACACCTGGTCACCCAGTGTCACCACCACTCGGAATCAGACCTTTACCTCCCTTTTGCACCAAGCTAAATAATCGCCCTCCTCCCTTTCTCTGACATCTTTTGCATGCTACCAATCAGTGCCCCAATTATACTACACTTCCCTCAACACACACCCAGTTGTGAGCTGACACTTCCCTCTCTGCAAGTGCTGGTACCTAGTACTAGGTAATAGAGGCTCCCAACGATGGCAGCAGGAGATTGCTCATTGAATGATTTCCGGTCTTATAGCTACCCCGCTTATATTCATTGTGTCTAACAGATACTTACATAGGGTTTCCTATGGGCCAGGCTCTGTCCAGAATAGCTACTACCACCCCATTTTACAGAGAAAACAAATCTAGAGCATAGGTGAACTCCCCTATGTTTGCCTAGCCAAAATGTAGAGGCAGATTTCAAACCCAGGAAGCCTGGCTTCAGAGACTGCTCTCTACCATTACAGCGTGCTTGCCTCTCATCATTTGGCTGTCTAGCTTCTTCCTTTGTGGTGTTACTAAGGACATGTGGGGTTTGTCCTTGGTGGTTGATGCTAAATGTTGCTAATTTTGCCCAAAATCTAGGTCTTCCATTTTCACCGTTAAGCTTTTAAACACAGACGACCACTCAGCAAACCGATAAAATCTTTGAATTTTGAAAACTATTCAGAGGCTGAGTCTGTGTATTTGGTTCTGATTGCAGCTACATCATGCCGATGACAGCTTCCTGGTCCTCACTACAGATGGAATTAACTTCATGGTGAATAGTCAAGAGATCTGTGACTTTGTCAATCAGTGCCATGATCCCAATGAAGCAGCCCATGCAGTGATTGAGCAGGTGACAGAGCAGAGCTTCTGCTAGAAAAGTCCTGATTTGGGTGGTGTGGGGTGGGAGGGGCGGAGAGAAGAACACCCAGGTGCCGGTCTTGGTACAGCCCGGAGGGGCTACTACGGGCTTGAGATTTCTTTGAAATCCTGTGTTTGAGCCTTTAGTATTACAAGGAATTTTACACTTGACTCCATAATATTCTCAATTTACAAAATGTTTACAATTCTCCCAAGTAGTTAAGTAAAACCTGTGTGCCAGGGAACGTGCTATGTTTATTTTTTGGATTTGTACACACCTTGATATGATAGTAATAGCAACAGGAAATTATAATAATAGTTAATAGTATTATCACTTATTATGTGCCAGACACTCTTCTAGTCACATATATTTAACTCATGTAATCATCACAATAACCTTCTGAGGAAAGGTTGATGAGGAAAACCAAGGCACAGAGGCTGAGAAGTTAAGTAACTTATTCAAGATTACAAACTTTTAAGTTGCAGAACTGGGCTTCAGACCGACAGCCAAGCTCCCGGATTCAACCACTAGACCATTAAACTAGACAGCTCCAAGTAAATATCCGGTATAGGAACACTATAGCATAGTCCACATCTGGTTTTTAAGAAGGGGTGTGTGAGGGGCACCTGGGTGGCTCAGTCGTTAAGCGTCTGCCTTCGGCTCAGGTCATGATCCCAGGGTCCTGGGATCGAGCCCTGCATCGGGCTCCCTGCTTGGCGGGAAGCCTGCTTCTCCTTCTCCCATTCCCCCTGCTTGTGTTCCCTCTCTCGCTGTCTCTGTCTGTCAAATAAATAAATAAAAATCTTAAAAAAAAAAAAAGGGTATGTGAAAAAAACAAACAGAAATTCAGAAAGATGTATGGATAGGTTATGTATGAGTATGTCACTCAGAGATAAAATGGGGAATACCCAGTAAAGAAAATGTAAAATTTCCATGTGCTCTTTAATATCCTATTAGATATTATCTATATATTTGAAGATACCTAATAGATAGCTCTTTGAAGTTATAGCCATCGCTGATCATTAGAGTCATGCTTTAATTTAACAGCTACTTCTGCATTTCCCAATTTTTACATTTGCAACTGGGAAGGCAAATTTAGCCCAAACTTTTAAGTGCTAATATTTGTAATTAAGACTTAAGGCCTCACTTAAAAAGCATTATTTGTTTGAAAATAGTGGGCAAGCATGAAGTATTCCCTTGGTTACTATGTGGGTTCATGAGATTACAGAAATGGGCCCAATCCTGTGGATGATCACTTCTTTTCTCATTTCATCTCCCTGTCTTAGATATATGTGTTCTCATTCACACAGGCAATGATATTTTAATGACTGCATGGTATTCTGCTGTATTTGTGTACCATAATTCTTTTACTAGTTCCCCTAATCAGCAAATTTAGTTTATGTTCACTTTTCCATATTATAGGGAGGGAGAGCACTGTATAAACGTTCTTGTATCTACTTGTGCATGTCTATTTCCTTCATATATTATTTTCTCAGGTAAAGTTCTTAGAAAATTGCTAGGTAAAAGGATACACTGTATTCTAAAACTTTTTTAAAAAAATATTTTATTTATGTATTAGAAAGAAGAGAGAGAGAGATCATGAGCAGGCGGGAAGGGTAGAGGGAGAAGCAGACTCCGCGTTGAGCAGGGAGCCCGATGCAGGAATCGATCCCAGGACCCCGGGATCATGACCTGAGCTGAAGGCAGACACTTAACCGACTGAGCCACCCAGGTGCCCTATTCTAAAACTTTTAATAAGCTTGCCAAATTGCCCTCCAGAAATGCTATACCAATTTACACTTCTCTCTAGCATGTTTAAAAATTTGTTTCTCCAAATGCTTATAATAGTTTTTTGCCAGTTTGATAGGTAGAAAAATCAAATTTTAGTGTTTTAAATTTGCATCTTTTTTCTTTGTTGGTGGAACTAACCATTTGCACAGGTTCGTTAGATCCTTGTATTTCTTGTCTGTGTATAGCGTTTTCCCATTTTTTTATAGGCATATTTGTCTTTTTCATGGTTATTGTAACAACTTCCTATATGTTAAGTATATTAGTACCTTGATATTGCGAACTTTTTTTTTGGTCTTTCAATTTGTAAAACTTTTTTATATTTTGATGCTTTTTATTTTTTTTTTAATTTTTTGAAAAGATTTTATTTATTTATTTGTCAGAGAGAGAGAGAGGGAACACAACCAGGGGGAGCAGCACACGGAAGCAGAGTCCCTACTGAGCTCAGTAGGGACTCTGCTTCCGTGTGCTGCTGTGTTCCCTCTC